TAATTACATTATGAGAAAGCATTTAACATTATACATTGTCATATCTTAAGTTGTATGAATGAGTGAATGAAAGAGTCTGTTGAACTATTTTTGGCTGTATGTTTGATTGTTCTGTAAACCAGGTGTTAATGAGTATGACTATTTAGCTGTAAACTGCTACATGTACCAAACTTTTCTTGACAAAGGCTTTACTTGACAGTTTTAGCAGGTCTCTCCTGGTCTTTTTTCTTTTCTGAGATTCTGTAGAGCTGTAGAGCGTCTTGCACAGGAAGCACAGCTGGAGGTCAGGTTTAGGGCAGGCTTTGGAGCCAAGGAAATTAGCTTAATGGTCATTTGGGGAGACTTGGCTGCTGTAATTTTAATCCAGATGCTAATGAAGCATAATGCTAACCTTCAGCAGAATAAGAGTCCATCACCTGGCATGCTTAGTTATCTCCAGGCATTTCTCTAAAATAAGTTTAAGGAGTCACAGACTGTTCCAGTAGTTCCAGGTGTCAGGAAATGTGTGGACTCTTTTTTTCATAGTTTGCATGACTGCAAATATAATAATGCTAATAATGCTAATGCTAATAATAATAATAATGATGATAATAATAATAATAATAACAGCACATGCATTACACTACAAAAAGTAACCATAATGTAATAAAGCAGCACATGCCACAAAGTCCAGGTAATTGTTTCTAAGTATATTGTCAGATTTCATATTTTTGTATGTCGTGACAGTGGTAGAGTGAAGAGGCCTTCCTCTAAACCAGAGAGTGGGGTCCTTTCCTGAGCTGACTTGCCTGTTTGTCTAACTGCCTGTGTGGGGCAGTACTCCCAGGCTGAGTCCCTGTTCCTTTTCCTCCCAGAGCACAGCTCTATAAAACCTGTGGCTTTTGCAGGGACACAGCTGACGTTCTCTCGCTGGCCGTGTCACGTATGTCAATATTGCCGCACCTTCGGCTAGGCCTCCAACAAAGCGAAGCATCGAGGATGTTGGCAGCCCCAGTCGGACTCTTGTTTGATCCTTTGAGTGGCGTTTCTGAATGAAGGAGGACAGTTCATGCTAGACTGTGTTAGGATTTGACCCGATAAACACAGCGACACGGTGGGTGAAAACCTCGTGGTGCTGCGATTGCCCAGTGGCCGTTTACTGCTGCGCCTGACTGCTACACACAGCTGCTTTCTCAGGATTTGCTGCCAGAGAATCGGAAGAAAAAAGGAAGAAAAAAGAGGGACCATTATTTTTCCAAGTGGTTTTACAGCTGGAGAAAGAATTACAATATATAAAGGGATGGTATTAGGTAATTAGATAAAAGACCTTCACATTATTTTTATTTATGTTGTTTTCTTTTGTATCAGTTTGTTTTGTTTGTTACTGACGGAAACATAATTTTAAATATCTGACTTGAGTTCAGAAAGCTTTTTAGCTTGGCATTATTTTGAAGGTTTAATTAATATCTCATTGTTTTCAGTTATTGTTTTAATTCATCAAAAGAAATAGCTATTTACAGTTTACCCTGTTTGTAAACATGGCTGCTTCCTCCTGCCCTCATTTTGGCTCCTTGTTTGGCTGTTCAGGCTTCCTATGGGATCAGATCTCCAGAAAAACTGAGTCACTTTCGCCAAAGACGCCATAAACTTCAGTTCCTCAGTACAGCCATTATTCACCCACATTTTGTTCTCTCAAACCCCGTTTTTGGTGCTTTGAAGAACTGAAGCAGTAATTATAATCTCTGCCTTTTCCCCCCATACAAATGAGCAGTAAATGCCACCACGCTAGATAATTCCATGCTAATGTGCAGTTGATACAAGATTCGTAATTCACAATTGCTTATGGAGGAAATGATTTAATTCAACTGAGCTAAAAAGACTGAAGGGGAGGGACCAATCAGCAGAGAAACGCTGCTCAACATCATTTTGTGGGATTCCCAGATGTTCCCAAACCAGATGGAAGGTATAATACTTCCAGGGTGTTGAAGGTCTGCCTTGAGGTCTCTGTGGAGTGGGACGCATCCGGAAGCTGACCAGGTGGCCTCCATATGAGATGCCCAAGCTTCCTCGGCTGACTCCTCTGGATCCAAAATAGCAATGGCTCTATTCTCTATCTCTGGGAGAACGTCCAGACCTCCAAACTCCTAACCTTCTCATGGAGAGTGACCCCTGGCAGCTGGGTTTGGCCACTTGTACTTGTGAACTTGTGTGTTTTATTCAGTCACTAGCTACAGCCCATGAGCATGGATAGGGATGTAGATTGATCGGTATATATGGGACAAACTGCATCATCTAGACTTCTTGGTAGGGCTGCTCTTGGTGATAAGCCAGGCAGATAAACCAGACAAATTACTATCTAGCAAAGACCTCAAAAAGGAAGTTAAAGAAGGTGTGTCTGATATAGGGTTACCAGGACACACTGCTGGAGACAGGGCTGTGGGTGGTATTTACTAATGTGAACCATGTGGCCGGTTCACCCACAAGCCCCTCTGACCCATAAGGTGAAAGGTCAGATAGCGTGACATTTAGGGAAGACATCTACACAGCAGTGACACTTTAAAGAGTCTCTTTTAGTGTTACCTGAATATCTTAGTTCAGAAGTGTGTCAAACAAAAGTAATGTCAGTTGTTACAGCCTTGGCTCAGGGAGGACAGAGTCTTCATCATCATCATCATCGTCATCATCATCATAAGCACCCAATATGCTAGTTAGTCAATGGATTTTAATAATAACGCAAGGTGTTTATTAAAAAATATTAAGCAAAGACAAATTACCTCAGGACTGAGGCATTAGAAACGACAAACAAAACTATTATGTGGTTTTAACCTATCAAACAAAAGCAAATAAACAAAACTCTTACCACCCTAGTTGTAACCAAACAGGAAAAAATACAAAGTAAAAATGTGCACCCACTCCCTACCGCTTCCTTACCCTCAGTAACATTAGTAGTTTAAACACAGAAGGAATAGACTATTTACAGTGTATTTAAAGTCGGACTTTCCCAGCACAGGCAAATAGAGAGTGCTGGGCAAACAGAACAGCAACTAATGAGAGTTGGGGGACGATGCGGGACTTTATTTGGGCACCTATCTATCAGCCGTGGGGAGCAGAGTTTATCCTGCCCAGGTGTACCAGAGCAGTAATGGGGGGGGGGGGGGCCCGGCGCTGAGAATGGAAGACGGTCACACGCACACACACACACACACACGCACATGTCGGGTATACCTATCCTTATGGGGACCGCTCATTCTTTTTCTATGAGAAAAATGCTAATGCTAACTATGACGACCTTAAGCCCTACCCAGCCCTAACCATAACCATAAGTAACCAAACTAAGTACAAGAGTTTTTTCACTTTTAGTTTTTTTCATTGTAGTCACAGATTTCTGTTAAATAAAGTTTTCCCTTATGGGGACCACGAAAAAAAGAACATTCATTATGTCTAATGAAATATGTAAGCAACCTTACAATTATTTTCCTATTTCTTCTTTTTCATTATAATCCTCAGATTGCATCCTCTCTTTCAATTACTGCACAATTTGTTCTCTAAATGCTGCCACTGTAATGAAGGGGAAGTACTCCAGACTGATGTTACTGCAGTGCTCAAGCTGTTTGTTTGTCCCATATGAAGGATGCTTGTGGAGTTTCTTTATTCACAAAAGGTCATTTTATTTACCTGTTCGCCACACTTGAGTTTAGCTTTATTTGCTAAGGCTGCTGTTTCAGACATGGACTCGCCTGTGAAGGGGAGCCCTTCTCTGGTGCTTACAATCCCTTTCACATTTTCATGTTTCACAGGAAGTGCTAAACTTTTCAGGGGATATTTCACATTTGCGCTACGTTCTGAAAAAAACTAATCTAGGGTCTGTTGTTAATCTGCCTTCACTTGATCTACTCTGGCACCAGTGCTTGTCAATAGAAACTCATACAGTAAATTTAGGAATGCTTTAAATGAATAAACACCATATTAGGAATGAACAACAATTGCTGCAAGATTTCAAAGGATATTTATGGATTTTATTAGTGCATATGTCAGTATGATCAGTATGTTTTTTATATATAGTTTAATTATGATGAGTTACTTTACTTACATATTTTCTGAATATATATGTATTTTTGTGCATTTTTTGCAGTACATACACAGTTAAAAGTTCTTCATTCATTCATTTGTTCATTCAGTTTGGCTCTGAATTTTGTGAACTGTCATTGTATACAAAATTATATTTTCCCTATATATTCTGTATGGCTTTTTATGACTAGTTAATCATTTAGAAGCAACTCTTATTTATGGTCCAACAAACGCACCCTTGTCATTTGGCGCACTGTAAAGCCTGATTCAACACAACGGCAGTTAAAGGAGATTTTGTTTGTGAGCCACAGTAAGTCATTTGTGGTTCGGCAAGCTGTAAAGGGCAATGAGATTCATTGTTAACAGAAGTAAATTCACCCACCAAAACAGGAATGATGTGCACTCAAGGGCCAAAAAATGACAGTATGAGTTTGTGAAGAACTACAAGTAGCTAAAAGTGGAACAAACATCTTCTCTGTGCTTGAGTTCATTTGTTAGTTTCTTTCTTTGGAAAGTTGTGGATGTCTTCATTGTTGCCTTGGAAGTCTCGCTATATAAAAAATAAAAGATTCCAGGTGCCTGATTAGAGCCTTTAACTTAGCAGTCATTCAGAATAGTGTGCAGTGTACTCTTCTCTTACACAGACATTTTTAGATACCTAATGCCTCCAGCAGATGTTCTGCACAAGGAAATCACTGACTGGAAAGCGCAGTGACTTCTTTGGAGACCAAGGGACGCTGCTCAAAGTTTAATGTAGCATGTATGTGGGGCAGTGATGCAAAGTGCTTCCACTGGATCGAACCCAATTCAAATACAGGCTTAGAAACGTGAAGCATATTGTTGTTGTAAGTTGATTACAATGCAAAGTATTTTCAAACTTTCTTGAAGTATTGTATGTTATGAAATATAAAATATACCCGTGGAGAATATAGGCCTCCACAAAACTTTGATTGTGCATCGGCCTTTATCCAGCATCTCATCTCCTGCGCAGTTAATGAGAGCTCGTCAGCCATGTCTAGGCCTGCATCTTTTAGGCAAACGCCACCCTAGACTGTTGTGTACAGTCTTACAGTACAGCAGCAAATGTATGTAAGATGTCCGCTTATTCATTTCTGATTGCTCGAGTTTGACCGGATGCCCTGCTTCTCTCTCTTATCAGACACGGAAACATGTGACTATGGCTGGTACAAGTTCCAGGGCCACTGCTACAAGTACTTCAGCCACCGGCGTACCTGGGACTCGGCGGAGCGCGAGTGCAGACTGCAGGGGGCGCACCTGGTTAGCGTGCTTTCACACGAGGAGCAGCTCTTTGTGAACCGTAAGTGTCAGACGGCTTTAATTAAAAGCTCAGAGGGTAGAGGGTAAAAGCCTCATTGGTTTCAGAGTCCTGATTTGCAGGCAGGAGATATTGTTAGAGATCTGCTAGTGACAGAATTGTCAATACGGCTGACGCATTCTTTTGGATGACACTGATGTAATTTAACACTCTTTCAACACTGAGTGGGGCTTGTCCTCTCCACTTTACCTCAGCCTACATCCATGGTGGTCAAGGAAGTGCCCAGCTGGAGAGCTTTAATTATAAGCTCCCAGGACAGCTGACTCTCTCATTGGTGTCCATTTCCAGTTTGTTTTCCCAGACAAAGCTGACGCACTTCACGTTCACAAGGTCCTCATTGAGATGTGTCTTCAGTTGTTTTAGGTCATAGGCCTTTGGCTGCCTTTTCTGCAGAACCTAGTTTTGGTTCCTGAACTAAGATTCTCACCATCCCACTGCAGACAAATAAGAGTGTTGAATTCCTATATGTATAACATCCATAATATATCCCTGGCAAATTGATTATAAGTTTAATGCTTATACAGTACATTCTCCTATAATGCCATAGCTGTGTTCCAGATAACCGTGCTCTTATGATACTCAATAACCTATATGATTTTGTGGAATAATGACATTAACATTCAACTATAATCAGTAGCCAGGGAAATACTTCTGATTTCAATTGTAAAGCAGCCATTTGAAAAAGAAGGTATGATTAATGGAAAATGGGTTCATGATACTAATGTGGTGTAATATGGTGAAATAATTGATTCCTTCATTGTACCTATCACAGGGTTGGGACATGACTATCAATGGATTGGCTTGAATGATAAGATGTTTGAGAATGACTTCCGCTGGACTGATGGCCGACCCATGGTAAGGAAAGAATCTTTATTTTTCTGTGATGAGTCATACAGTTTCCAGTTTTTGCACTGTAAGAATAGACCTTCCAATGCTTGTTAAAATTGTGCTAGCATTGGAGAACAGTTTCTGTCTGATAGTGATGTGACTGAAGAGACTAAACACGGGAGCTAATTCATTTAGAAATATTCGTTTCCCACTTTGTCAGTATGGTTGAAGATATTTATCTCATACTTTGTGTGTAAATACTTGGATCTTACCAAGTAACCAAACGAGCTGTGTTGTGATGGAGTCTGTGTTTACGTGCGGGGATTTACAGAAAGACCTTCCTTTCAAATTCAGATATGGAGCTGCACTGGAGGATAGGGGAGAGAAAACAAGAATAGAGGGAGGGAGGCTGTTCATTCGTGTGATTTTGTTCCTGAACAATTGTGCAAAAAGATTGAGGGAGAGCTTTAGAGAGAGGTTGGTGAACAGGTGTAGAAAGACAATTTAGGAAGTGGAGGTAGAGAGTGGGGGCGACGGGAATTGGTGGGGGGGAGGGCAGATGGGCCACACCTGTCCTCAAAATCATCACTGGGAAGTAAACTAACGAAAGAAGTCTGGGGAAAACCTACCAAGCCGAACTTCAAAAGTCTAACTGCGAGCATCTGTGCAGGAGGTATGATGCAGTGTGTTTGCATCACATAATGACAGAGGAGGCAAAACTTGAGCTACGCTGTTGAAAGACCAGAGGCAAGAAGCCAAGATCAGGAAGAGTATTCATAGCTGTCTGAGGCCGATAGAGAGCAAGGCATCCCGCACGCGAAGAAAGGAAGCAGCAAGGCGTCCCGCACGCGAAGAAAGGAAGCAGCAAGGCATCCCGCACGCGAAGAAAGGAAGCAGCAAGGCNTCCCGCACGCGAAGAAAGGAAGCAGCAAGGCGTCCCGCACGCGAAGAAAGGAAGCAGCCGATGATATAAAAGCTTCAAGGTCAAAATGTACATAATGTATAGCCATCCCTGCTGCACATCCACAAAAACTGAAATCATTACGCTATGGTGCACTGCATTCTGGGAGTGTTCTTCAGATGCTGTTAAAACACACCTATATTTGTTGAACATATTTTTCAGGTAATACTAACTGTCAGGAAGGTTATCATGCAATGTTGTCATTGTTAACCCATTTACATGTAATTTACTGTTATCAGTGATACTGCCATTAAGAGCAGATATTACCAACCATGCATCCATTCATGCATCCCTGCATCCATCCATGCATCCATGCATCCGTCAACCACCAGTAGAGAGATGAAGAATAGCAGATATTGTAGTAATTAAATAAAGTGGATGCAGCACAAAAAGTTTTTAGTTTCATATCCTGTTGTTTCTTTCGGGTGCTTAATTAACCTTTAACCAAGTTACGACTCAGACTGCATTATACATGCGCAGCTGAAGAGGCAGATATGCCTCCTCGGCAAAAAAGCATCCCCTAAGCAAAGGAGAGTAACAGTGGCAGCAGAATACTGCAGTGATCGTCAGTAAGGTGTCACAGCAGTACACTGTGTCACACCAACAGCCAGCTGAGAGATTGCAGCACATCCTGGAGAATCCAGCAAAGTGTGCAGTGACGAAAGGAAAAGAATAAAACCATTCAGTCAGTCAACTACAGTCCCAGCCTCTGCTCAGTCAGTGATGCCCCACGACTGCGAGGAGTTGTTGACACTTAAGTGCCATGTACAAATTCAAATCAAATTCCAATTCCAAATTCCAATTCTGTTTGTCACATGCATCATCATACACAATACAACCTGCAGTGAAATGCTTATTACATTGTACAGTGGAAGTATTCCAGGTGCAGAATGGGCTGTTCCAGCAGCCCTCTCACCTATTACTAATAAAATAACCTGAAAGGCTGCAAATCAAGAGCAATAGATCAAAGTCAAAGCTGTGGCAAAACGTGTTGATTATTGGATTTCGTTAGCGGAGTTTTGCTTCTTAGGTCATAGACATTACATCATTTATGTCTGGCTTCCTAAGTCATATCCCTCAAAAATATAATAACCTTGTTACTGCACTGATTAAACCTGCAGTTAAATGCATAACTTCACTATTATTGATTTACATTTATATTAGGCCTGTTTTTGTTTCCATTTTTAAGGGTGGGGAGTTTCCCAGAAGAGGACTGTGTTTGATATCACTGGGCAGCATGAGTTCAGTGCATTCCTCTAATCAAAGATCAGGGAGGGATATCTGGGTCAAAATGGGGACACTACCTTCTGTGGGCATGTTTGCCGTTCTCTCGCTCGTCCCTTAGGAACGGCGGTGCCAGTTAATGGTGGTGTGACGCCAATGGCCACAGCCAGACCGTGGCCCCCGCTCACAGGCCCCCGAGGAGGGCCAATCGCTGCAGGCACTTATTTGCCAGAACTAACTGCAGCTCACTCCGTATCAGCCTGACACAAATTACTTCAGAATGAGCTAGTTTCCTCTGAGCTTTGAGGCAGGACGGAACAATATGAAGCCTTTGGGTGAAGCGATCATTCACTGTTGAACAACTGCGTAGGAATATTCTCCGCCATTTTCCGTGACTTTTAAAATTGCAATTAGGAAAAATGGGGGGGGGGGGAAATCAAACCTCTGAAGCATCTGGAGATTTGGTTGTGGTTCCAAATCTAGCAGCACCGAGAGGCTGTTGTGTCATTTGAAATGGAGGGTTAGCCCCCTCTAGTGGTGAGATGAAGCGCACGCAATGCATTTTTGTCAGCACTGCGTGCTCTGTGATCTTGCTTTGCCCTCCGCTATTCAAAATCTGCTTACTTCAGCAATGTGCTACAGAATCAACCTGGTGGATGATGAAATAAAATTTTTCATCTTGGAATACATCACACTGTTTTGCACTGCTTGATATTATTGTATTATTTTCACAGCTATATAGAAGGCTAATTAATATAATTTAACTGCCATAAAATGTGTGTGAATGTTCCTGTGGAGGAAGGAATTATATCAGAGCTGTTACACCATACCACACAGCTGCTGTATTTTTTTTTGCCAGAAAATGTTCATCAATAATCCTTTATTATTAAATTGGTTTGCTCTTGTTATCGTATGTCTACTTAATTCCCTTTTCTTGGCTGGACGAACAGTAACAAAACAAGATTTCCATCCCGGTTTAATGAAGAATTCTGATTCTGATTCACGGAGAATTGATATATTAATCATTCAACAGTGTTTTACAATAAAATAATTTACATTGAATTTCCATACATTTTAATCAAATGACAAACTTGTAAATCTAGGGGTGCCGTAATAGTGACAATAGTCAGTTTTACAGGTGCTAAGAGTTTGTATGCATGTCTGATGGAGGGCATTGTAGTTTCAGACAGCAGTAAGCTTTGGGGCATTGACTTGTCATGGCGTTTATTAGCAGTTTTTTGTCAAGGCGTGGTTTCATTTTTTTTATTTAAATTTTTTCAATTTTTCAGCAATATGAGAACTGGAGACCAAACCAGCCAGACAACTTCTTCTCTGCTGGAGAAGACTGTGCGGTGATGATCTGGCACGAGGATGGGCAGTGGAATGACGTGCCGTGTAACTACCATCTAACCTTCACCTGCAAGAAGGGGACAGGTGAGGAGCCCAGCGGGAGGGGGGGCTGCCCCGCCCCCCGGACGCCGTAGAGGGAGGCGGCCGTGGAGGAGGTCTATCGATGGCTCAGCCTCAGCTTAAACCCTTCCTCTGCATGCATTTGCATAACTGCAACAAAATAATTCTCTACATATTCTCTTAATGGTTTAAGCTCCATTGTACCGAAAGAGGTTGGAAGTAATACTGCATAATAATTATTTTGATATTGTAAAAACATGAAAAACGTGAACAGGAAGGCAAAATAAACTGCAGTCTTAATTCAGATTATGAGTTAAATCATCGGTTTATACCAGCAGTCGTATTACTTTAGAATCGTAGCTCTAAGCATTAATCGTCATAGGACTGAATACTGCACATTTATAGTGTTTGTTTTTGTGCAATTATGCAGCCACCTTCTCCCATGACAATTTGTCCAGTACAGGGCTACAGTGACCTTGGAAAATGTTGCAGGAAGCAAAGGGCTCAATATAGAGGACATCCGGGTTGGGAGACACACTCACGCACTCAGTCACATGAGGATATTTAGGATATTTTGAGGATTCATCTACCCACGTATGGGCGTGTACTCGGACTGCCAGGAGGGAACCCATGCAACACAGGGATATGCAAGTTTCAGGGACAGGGAGTCAAACCCACAACCTTGGGGGGTGTGAGGCTACGGAACCAAGTCCAATTATTATGAAAGACATAAAATTGTGTTTGTGAGGAAATTTTCAACCATGCCTGAGTAGTTTGGAAAACTTTTAAACCGAAGCATTTGAATGCAATATCTAAACATGAGACTCGAAATAATGAAGGGAATTTTGTTATATTGAATTTGTGTTTAGGGTTTTGTCCGATCTCGAGACATCCACCCAGGCAGCATAGGGAATAACGTTGGGTTACACCCTGGGTGGAATGCCAGTAGATTACGAGCTACCAAAGTGCAAATAAAACTGATCACAATTGGGCTTTTCGTCAAGAAAGTAGTTACATTTCCCATTGTGAAGAATATTTCCTGTCAGATACATCTTAACAGATATATGTTAGTATTAAGGTAACATTTTAGTATGAGAAGTGATCTTTTGGGTTGTAGTAAAATTACCCATAAAAATACTGCAGCTAAGATACTACTGTACAACACTGCACTCAGACAGGCTAAGGGATACTCTTTGAATCTGGCATATATCTTCTTATTTATCCAAACTCTTCTGAGCTGTTGGCCCTATACTTTATTCCCTCAGTTTCTTGTGGCCAGCCTCCTCTCGTCAAAAATGCCCACACCTTCGGAGTTATGAAGCCCCGCTACGAAATTAACTCCTTGGTACGGTATCACTGCAAAGAGGGCTTCATCCAGAGACACGTGCCGACGATCAAATGCCGCGGAGATGGCCGATGGGACCTCCCCAAAATCAGCTGCATGAGCCGTAAGTGTCCGACAGGGAAAGGCTTTTTTTTTCCGTTGTTACATAATTATAAAGCAGAAGAGTAGCTTATAGCAAGTAAATAAAGCGTGTTTCAAATGCTATCATTCAGTAACCTTGAAATATGTTGAAATCAATTAAGCAATTAAAACTGGATTGCAATGTATGCCTTGTTGACTGATTTAGCTCAATATAGTTAAAATATTTCAAAATTGCATTTATACAATCTTGTTTTTATTTCAGCATCTACCTATCAAAAGACATATTCAAAGAAATACCAGTTTGATAACTTCCTCGATAATGGCAAAAGGCGGTTTGATGAATCGATGCTACATCATCACCGCTGGGCCACGAGAGATGGAAAAATTGGACACTGATTCCCCGCATAAGTTTTTATTTGCCATCTTGCCGTGAATGCCAGACAACACCTTATACGTGCCTTTCAACATTTTATCTGAACCAGCACGCCTGAATCAAATGCTTTTCCTATGTGTTTTGTTGTCATCTTTTTGAATTTACCGGACTCTTCAGTTACATTAAGGTAAAATATTAATAATAATAACAAGAAAACAGCCACTAAGAAATGGTTTTGTAAGTTTCCCCAAATGGGTTTTTGATGAAGTCCCTTAGTGGGAGAATCTTTGTATACTTTTAGTATACTATTTTCTACTGTGCATCATGTTCATTAATTCCATTCATACAGTAATAGGTTCTCATTCATGACATATTCCAGTAATCCAAATGTGTAAATATACACTGTCACAAAAAATAGTTCATGTAAATAAACATATTAGGCAGATCACTAAAGCTGGTTCTTTATCCAAAAAAAAATTTGTTTGCTGCTCCATGTTAGTACTACGATTTCATAGCTTCATCTGTAGAGCATTTATACAAACTATCAATCAATGAACATTCATAATCTATTCAGCAAACGCATTTGATGGGAGAATGTTTTTTCATCTAAGGATGGACACATTCCCTTTAGGAACTAGCAAAACATTCTTTAATGTATCATGAGGTGTGTTCTGAGGTGTCAGGAAATGAGTGGTAGATGACAAGAAATGTAAGGACTGCAGAACAACTGAAAAAAGCTAACAGAGAACTTTAGAAAAATGTGGGGGGGGGGGTCACATTAATAAATAACATGGAGCACTCATAAGAACGCTGGTGGGGGCCTATCTTAAATGAAAACTTTTCTTGTAGGAATTATGAAAAATTAATCAATAGGCTGTTTGTATATATAACCATCCTAATACATTTGTTTTCTGTATGGTATTATACAAAAAAATGCCTTGAATGTTTTTGACAGGTTTTAGATGGCAAATATAGCCATTTGGGAGAAAATTTATTCAGTATGTTTTTTAGTATTAAAAGTAAAATTGTGGATTTGGAATAAAACAAATTTTTATATAAACATCTAATAATAGCTCTGGAATTTCTTGTGTTTACAAAGATGTTTTTAATATAACTATACTATTTTGATTTGACTTTTTAAAATATTGACTTCACTTCTGCAAGTAATCACAGCGTATGCTTCTTTATAGGAATAACTGATGTTAACAGAATGTACTTTGTGAAACACGCAAGTGACTTGAACCTTTGCAATACGTATAATTTATTAAGCACGTCCTCTGATCTTTGCCTGACTACAGGTTAAAATCAAAATGTAAGCCAATGTGAAAAACAGGAGAATTGCTGCAAATTTCCTCTCCACTATATACAGAGGATTTTGAAAGGGACGTGTGTTTGTCAGACCAAGTCACCATATACTTAGCTGAAATGTCTGTTGCCTAAACTGTTATAGAAACTTGTGTTGCACAGTAGATTAATCCTCTAGTGTTTAAATTCCTGTAAACAATGTCGTTTTGTTATAATTTTAACTTTGTGTTTGATTCCTTTGTTATGTCTGCTGTGTTTTATCTTTATCTTTTTATATTTATATCATAACTTTTTTTTGTACTATGTGAATGTTCCGGATGTTTGTGAATTATGCTTTTCAAAGCTTGTTAATTTTTTTTACCTTTTTACACATGCTTTATGTCACCAAAGAAATCCACAAATTTAAATACATCATTTTGAGTCCCTTCTATTTTTAAATAATACTGTACTTAATAAGACTATTCTTTTCCCTGTGTTTGTGCAGGATTCTTCTGGGTATTCCAATGTCCTCAAAAAAAAAGATGTAACTAGGCGAAATGATCTGGAAATTGCTCTTAGTGTGTGCTTATTTCTGTGAGTGCGTGTGCCACCAAGAACTGCGGCGTACTTGAGTCGGACCGCGAGCTGGCGGTTTTCCAATGCAAAGTGCCTGAGCCGTGCCCTAACCCTACCCTCGCTGGCGTGGTCATGCTTACTAGAAGGGCCCAAGGCTTGACCAAACTGCAATAGTCACCACAATGATCAAAATGCACGGAGGTACTGCTGTTCTGTTCATGGATTATCTGAAGACACAACCGTATATTCTAAATGTTCATTATTAGTAGTATCACACATCGCCATGTATTGATGCATTCCTGATAAATAAATTTCTAACTTTCTACTTAAAAAGTACTATAGAACAGCTGAAAAGAAGGGATTTGTAATACAGATTAATGCAATTGAATGCTAATTCTGTTAGTGTTTGATATTAACAAAGTGGTTCTTACAGATGTGGTAGAAAATTAGGTAATTAACACAATACGTCATGATGTACACAGTGAACAGTAAAGTGTCTCTCCAGTTTCACGTCGCTGTTGCTCTCCAGATCTGGCAGCGCCAGCACCAAGTCAACCCTTCTGCAATGGAAAACCAAAG